CCCCTGCACACTCCTCCTCCCCCCACCCCCTCCCTGCCACTGACCCTCCAGTTCTATAGAGAACTGGAGAACTTATCCTGTTCTAGAGAACTAAAGAAACTTATCCAGTCAAGTTCACCAACTATGGCTACAACAATGGCTAAGACAATGGTCAATTCTCAGACTTCCTATTTCATGATTTGGAAACAGGTGATCACTCCTTCTCTTGGAAATGCTTTCTTCACTTGGCTTTCAGAATGCCACAGTCGCCTTGCTTTCCTCCTCCCTCACTTTTCTTTCTGGTTCCTCTTCATGCGGCTGCTTAACATTGGAGAAACTCCTCCTCAGCTACACCTGCTTCCCCAGTGCATCCAGTGTTTGTTATGGCTCTGAATGCCTCCGTCATGCTCCAAACTTCTATTTTCAGACCAGACCAGATCTCGCCCCTTAAATTCGACTTGTATATTCAACTGCCTTCAAGATATTTCCACTTGGATACCTAATAGACATCTCAGACCCAACTCCTAATCTCTCCTCCCTCCTAATCCCCAAGAAACCTGCTCCTCCAATAGTCTCCCTGTGCCAGCAAACAAAACCGCATGTATCCAGCTTCTCAGGCCAAAGATGCTAAAGCTGTACTATCCATAACAGTAGCTATTACCACATGGGACTATTTAAAAAAAATTTTTTTTCATTCATTCACTCTTTGATTCAATCAGTCACAAAAACATATACCAAGTACCTACTGACTTCCACATACTTTGCCAGATTTGCAAGTATACAAAAAACTACAGTCAGCTTCTGTCTTCTGCTGTCATACAGCAGGAACTATTCAAAGTAATTGAAGCAACCTAAAATGACAAATTGATTCCTCAGTTGCACTGGGCACCTTTCATGTGCTTCATGGTCACATATGGCTGGTGATGACACACTGGATGGTGCTGATCTAGAACATTCCATATGGCAGTGGGTTCTACCAGACAGTGCTGCCATAGTTACTCTTGACTCCTCTCTTTCTCTCACACCCAACATTCCGATCCATCAGCAAATCCCATTGGTTCTACTTTCAGGACAGAGCTAGAGCCACTGTTCCTCACCTGCACTGTCACCACCTTGTCCCCAAGTTGTATCTCTTGCCTGGTTTACTGCAGCCCCTAGCAATGATCCCTGCTTCCACCCTTGCCTCCAAAGCCTACTATCCACACAGAAACTGTGTAAATCAAATCATGATCTTCCTTGGCTCAGAAACTGCCAAAGACATCTCATATAGAGGAAAATCCAGACTGTACTGTGGCCAACACCCTGCATGAGTTGGTCCCGTGTCCTCTGACCTCACCGTGCACTCATTTCCTAAAGTCCTACTCCAGCTACATTGGCCGCCTGGATATTCCTCTCACAGGCCTGGCACTCTTGCCTCAGGACTTTTGCCACTGCTATTTTGTTTGTTCCTTTGCTTTTTGGACTGGGACACTCTTAACACAAATATCCATATGGCTGACACCCTCATCCCCTTCAAGTCTTTATTCAAATGTCACCTTCTCAGCAAGGTCTTCTCCAAATATCCTATTGCTACCACCTATCCCCCAACATTCCCTGTTTCTCTGCTTTACCTTCTCCCTCATATGACTTGATATTTTATTTTACTTAATTTTCTTGTTTATTGTCTGTGGCATAGTAAGAAATATGTATTTGTTATCTGCCCCCAGTTTTTGACACAGAGCTCCTAGAACTCTTGTCCTAGGAGTGATATGAGTGATATGAGGGTCTTCCATATAAAGTTCCTAAATCCCTTCAATTTCCTGGGTCTTAGGAGCATCTTTTATTCTCCTGAAGTGTCTCCTGCTGAGCTCGTAGATGGGGGGGACTGGTCACCAGTAAGACTAAACCATGATCAGAAGCTTGGAACTTTCAGCTCCAACCTCCTTCCTCAGGGAAGGGAGACAGGCTGGTGAGTGAACAGTCCATCCTGCCTACACGATGAAACTTCAATAAAATCCCTAAACTATGGGGTTCAGAGAGC